AAGTAATTCAGGACTTTATTAAAGAGGTGTGTATTATCCATTATTAAAATTTAGTTTTTTTTCTAATATTGATAGATTAAATTATATATTAAACTTCTATAATTCATATAATAAAAGCTTAGGCTATTGAGAAAAGTTTCTAGTCATCCAAACATTATCGGTTTTCATGGAATAACGATGGGTATGCATTTTTAACTTTCAAAAGTAAATAATGAAATCATTATCTTATATCGTGTATTTATTATAAATAAATAGACGACAATGGATATTACAATATGATTTTACAATGTGCTGATGGAGGTAACTTACGAGAATACCTGAGAGAAAATTTCGAAATGTTGCAATGGACAGAGAAATTTCGTATTGCAAAGGAAATAGTACACGGTCTTATGTTCTTACACAGCCAAAAGATTGTTCACAGAGACCTTGTAAGTATTTTATATTTAACAATTATGAATTTTTTAATTAATTAATATTCTTAAATTTTAATCTAAATTATTGTTTGTAGCATTCAAAGAATATTTTAATCCATAAGGATCAGCCAATGATTACAGATTTTGGTCTATCAAAACAGTTGAACGAGACAATGACTTCAAATTCGCGTGTTCATGGAATGCCACAATATATTGAGCCTAAATGTTTCAAAGACCCAAATTATAAACGTAATACGAAGTCAGATATTTATAGTTTTGGAGTAATCCTCTGGGAAATTTCAAGTGGCAAACCACCATTTGAATCTCTTAAATCAAGAGATTCAATTGTTATTCATATCAACCAAGGAAATAGAGAAGAGCCAATAAAAGGCACGCCGCCTGAATATATTGAACTTTATAAAAAATGTTGGGATAAAGATCCTGATAAGCGTCCTGAAACTAGAGATGTTTATGTGATTTTAAAGCAATTCATTGCTGAACAATCACCCTCAAATAGACCTAATATTCAATTAAATGAATATAAAAATCGACAAAATATCAACTCATTTAGCGAAATCACACCATCATCCCCGCTTTACATACCAGATGAACTAGCAGCTCTAAATAAGTTTTATGTACAATCAAATGAAATCAATGAAGGTCCATCAAATAAGCTAAAAAATAAAAATCAACAAAATATAAATTCATTTAGTGAAATCACTCCGTCATCCCCAATTTATTTCCCTGATAAATTTATAGATATAAGACAAAGTGAGGATAAAACATCGTTTCCAACTTTCACAAATCGACAAAGAGCATCTACGATTGACATACCGCAAATTAAACCTTCCATAAATCAGATCCAAACTAGAGCTTTTTCAATTGATCCAAATCTTTTAAAGCAAAATAGAAAAATAAGCGAATTAGAAAAAACTATTCGTGAAAACACTTCAACAGCTTTAAATCTTAAGGAAAATCAAATTGGTCCGGAGGAAGCAAAAATATTGGCGCAGGTACTTTATTATAATACCAATATTTTTACTTCTTTAAATTTAAAGATGAATAAACTCAACGATGAAGGGGCAAAAATTATATCAGAAGCTCTTATTGGAAATAAGAATTTAACCGTTTTGGATATTGGTTTTAATAAAATTGGATTTGAAGGAGCAAAAACATTGGCGATTGCCCTTTCTATAAACAGAATTTTAGTTTCTCTGAATCTTTGTAGTAACAATCTTGGATCTGAAGGAGGAAAAGCATTGGCAGATGCTCTGGCTCAAAATACAAAATTAAGTTCTTTAGTTCTTACAAATAATAAACTTGGACCCGAAGGTGGAAAAGCTATAGCAAATGCTCTCATCAGAAATACAACTTTAACATCTTTAAGTATTGGGACTAATAATATTGGATCTGAAGGAGCTAAAGCGTTTGCAGATGCTCTTTCTAAAAACAAGACCTTAAAATCATTATCAATTGAAAAGAATCAATTAGGCCCTAAAGGTGGAAAAGAGTTGGCAAAAACTCTTCCGAATAATACGACTTTAACTTCTTTGGATGTTAAAGATAATGGTTTTGATTCAGAGACAAAAATAAAATTAAATGAAAGTCACAGTAAATT